ATATGTTTCTACCCCTTCAGATTGCAATAAGGGTCTGTGGAATAATTTTTGATGTTTACATGGAACCCAGTCTGTCAGGGTTAAATGTCCGAAGAGTATTCTTTATTTTATTTTTTTAATTTTTAAAAAGATTTGTTATATACAGTGTAGTTGATTTTCATGGCCCTTTGCCAATTGCTCCCTTTTCCCCTTCCTTCTCCCCCTTTCCCACCCCCATCAACATCATATCTGTTCAAATATCCTAAGAGTATTCTTTAAAGTCAGGTGTTTTGTGTAGATTAGATGAAGGACATATTTATATGAGGGTACTTCAAAAAGTTTCTGGAAAAAATAGAATATAAGGCTTTCCATGAACTTGTTGGAGTACTTCATACAGACAAATTGTAAAAGTATATAATCTGAAATAGCCTACATAATATTTTTCAAGTACTTAGTCTTATAAAAGAGACTATTCTGTGACTGTAGTAGTTTTCTTCAGGCTGGACCTTTCCTTTTGTAGGTATAAGCAATCTCTTAACTTGAAACTCTCCCTTTTACCCATATTTTGGATGTAAAACCTGCTAAGTTGCTTTTATAGTGGTTCGTTTTCATTGATCTACTCTTTTCAAGCTAGCATGGTTCCTCCTATGGAGTATTATAAAAAAGTAACTAATAGCCACTGTATAATGTCAAACACCTTTTAAAACAGGCACAGAAATTCTCCCCAATACACAACTCATTTTTTCATTGTAGTGCACCTAACACAGCCATATTTTTGTCTAGGTTAAGTGGCTGCTATAGCAACAAGGATGTGTTTGTTTTCAAAAGGGACTTGGGGAGTAGTGCTGATGCCCAGAATACAGAGATTATCTAGGAGAAAAACAAAATCACAGAGAACTATGGCAACAGAGCTGAGCAGGGTCTCTAAGTGGACAGGAGGCGGGTGTGCACAGAGCAATCCCATCTTTGATTTTTAATGTGATTTTCAAGTCCAGAATTGTTGATTTAGCAACTTAGAAAATGGGATTAAAAAAAAAATAAGAATTCAAAATGCCTCTGCATGAACATATTCTAAGGTAGCAGTTCATTGGGAGATAACATTCATCTAGTTTTTTTGCCAACAGCAATTATTCCTCCTCAGTAATTAATAATAAGGATTTCCTTTATAATATATTACTTTATAATGCTGCAGAGATTAAAGGAAGGAAACTAGTCCAAATGTTATTCTTTTGTGTGTATCTCTGTCAATGTTTTGGTGAGCTCATGGTAATGCCATGGTTAGTTATTTCTCTATTTCTTTTTTTTTTTTCAATGCAACATAATTGATTGTACATATTTGTGGGGTACAAAGTTGGATATCAATACCTGTGTCTAACACATGACGTCATTTTTCTTTGTGTATATTTGCTGTATATTACAAAATAAATAAAGTCTAATGTCTCCAAACAAAATTATCAATCTGAGTTCTATTTGAGATTTTTTAAAAAGAATTCTCACTTGTAAGTTTAAGATCATATACTTTGATTATAAATGCCATATATAAAAATATTGATCAAACAACTTAAAATGATTACAGTTAGCAAAATTATAAACAGGTAATTAATGAGTCTTCTTCTCTGCCACAAATTAATTTTTGATACATGTTTTGATAGGGGGAGTTATCAGCAAAGTTATTAACAAGAATTCTGATTATACTTACTTCATTACTTCTAATTATTTATTATTAAGTGCTGGATTTTAAGTAAAATACTAGGTTATATATTAATCTAGTATTGTCAAAAATAAATGCAAATCCTCTTTTAGTTTCATAAGGATATTTAGTCTATGTTAAATTTCCAAGTAGGAGTAAGGCTCTTACTTAAGCTTCCAGATGATCTTTCACATGGCTAAGGATGATCTTTCAGATGGCTAAAGAAAAGAATCTAATGCATGAAATCTACTACCAGTTGTTCCCTAGCATTATAATCCCTGGGATAGGTATTGAGCCACAACACATAGGTTAGCTAGTACTAACACTCTGCTCTGTGCATACAATCACACACATTACACACATTTATGTTGCTGTTATGCCACCAGGTCCCATGCAGACATACTTCAAGTACTCTACCCTATACCAAAGCCAATAAAAAAATGCTCCTTATTATACTAAATTTGAGCTTAATCTGTGCATTCCCTTTTTAAAGTTATTCCTTTTATTTTCTTTTTTAATAATACATGAAAGAAAAAGTGCTCCTGGTTGTTTCAATTTTTTATTTTTTTCCATGCTATTATTACATTTTATTTTTATTTTTTAGAGGAAAATTCATACTTGTAAACAGCTATATTAAAAATAAGAAAAATCTCAAATCAGTAATATAAACTTCTACCTTAAAAAATAGAAGAAAAGCAATCTACACCAAAGCAGATATAAGTAGGAAATAACAAAGATTTTGACAGAAATATATGAAATAGGGAAGTAAAAAACAATAGAGAGAATTAGCAAAACCAAAAGTTGATTCTTTAAAAAGATAAACAAAATTTTCAAACCTTTATCTAGACTAACCAAGAAAAAAAAGAGAGAAGACCAAAATTACTAAAATCAGAAATAAAGCAGGGGCATTATTACATTGTCATTATGGTTTTTTGTGATGGTAAGATTTAGTTCCTTTCCCGTTTGCATTTCTATTCTACCAGTGTGTTTTGTTCTTTCTTTTGTATTTATGGTAGTGATTATCAGTTTTCAGATTCCAGATGCAGGACTTCCTTGAAGATTTCTTGTAGGGCTGGTTGTGCGGTGGTGAACTCCACAAGTTTTTTTGGTCTGGAAAATACACTATTTCCCCCTCATTTTCTGAAGGATAGCGTTGTGGAGTATAGTATTTTTGGCTGGCAGTTTTTTTCTTTTACTATTTTGAGTATATCATCCCATTTTCTTCTGGCCTGTAGGATTTCTCTTAAGAAATCTGCTGTTAGTTTGATAGGGGCTCTGTTAAAGGTGACTTGATGCTTTTCTCTTGACTTTTTTAAGATTCTCTCTTTGTCTTTGAGCTTTTCAGTTTAACTATAATCTGCCTCAGAAAAGATCTTTTTGGATTGAATCAAATCTATTTGGGGATCTTTGGGCCTCTTAGATCTGAAAGTCCATGTCTCTCCCTATACCTGGAAAGTTTTCCATTATTATTTTGTTGAATAAATTTCTCATGCCTTTTCCTTTCTCTTCTCCTTCTGGAACACCCATGATTCCAACATTTGTGTGCTTAATGTTGTCTGCTAGCTCTCTTAGATTTCCTTCATTTTTAAAAATTCTTTTTTCCTTTTTTTTGTCTGCCTGGGTTATTTCAAAAAGACTGTCTTCAAGATCAGGAATTCTTTCTTCTGCTTGTTCTAGCTTGCTGCTTACGCTATCAGTTGTGTTTTTTATTTTGTTGAATGAATCTTTCAGTTCCATGAGCTCTGGTACATTTTTTTTAAGGTATTAATCTCTTTGTAAATTTCCTCCTGCATATCCTGGCTTTTTTTTTCTTCTCATTTCATTATGTTGTCTGAGTCTTCTCATATCTCAGTGAGTTTCCTTAAGATTGTTGCTCAGAATTCCTTTTCAGTCATTTCAAGGTTTTCCTGCTTTATAGGGTCTGGTATTTGAAAATTACTGTATTCTTTTGGTGGTGACATGTTTTCTTGGATTTTCATAATTCTAGTATCCCTACATTGATGTCTGGTCATCTGGTAGAGCAGTTTTTTCTATTACTCTGGAGTGGGCTTTGAGGAGAGAGAAATCCTCTTCTATTTCTGGTCTCTGCTGATGACTCTAGTTGTGTTAATATAGTTGAGTGTCTGGTGGGCTGCCTACACAGTGGCCGTGGTTACTATTGTGGTGGTGAGCCGCTTTTGTGAAAACTGTGGCTGTGTCAGTGTCTGTGGTGGTCCACCCATACAAAAGTGGTGTCTTCGGCATGCTCTCTTGCCTGCTTCTGGCAGAGGGGGCTGCCCTCAGCTCCTGCCTAGGATCCCAGGTATGTTGTCTTGCCTGCTTCCAAGTGGAGGGGGCTGCCCTTGGCTCCTGTCTCGGACCCTGGGTGTGCTCTCTTTCTTTTAAAACTATTTATTTTCTTCTTTGATCAATTTTCAATACTGTAGATGACTGGGAGCATCCTCAGGAAAATTTCCACAGAGAAATGTAGTTAATTGGAAAGTAAAACATATTTTATTTTTAGACTTCTTTCTGTAAAAATCTTATTTTTGTATACAGTCATGTACCGCATAACAATGTTTTGGTCAACTATGGACCATACATATGACCATGGTACCATAAGATTATAACGGAGCTGAAAAAATTCTTTATCTACATTTAGGTATATTTAGATATGCAAATACTTAGCATTGTGTTCTAGTTGCCTACAGTACAATAACATGTTGTGCCGGTTTGTGGCCTAGGAGCAATAGGCTTTACCATATAGCCTAAGTGTATAGTAGGCTACACCATCTAGGTTTCAGTTAGTATACTCTCTGATGTTTGTACAACAATGAAATCACCTAATGATATATTTCTCAAAATGTATTCCTGTCATTAAGGAATTCATAACTATAATTAATAAGAATTAATGAGAGTGGTACTTCTAACCATGAAATTCTAGAGCTAAATACGGTAATATTAGCAAAACTAGTGATTTTTCAATTATTTCATTTTATATATAAAGGATGTGCAAATATGCCATGTTTATCTTTAGTAAAAGTGCTTTTAACAAAGACAGTAAAACCATGTACTCTGAGTTGCATATTAACACCCTGGTTTAACTAGATGACAGATCACATTGTAATTCTGATATACAGAGCTAAAGAGAGTCATGATATCAGAGTCCTTCTGTGTTTGTATTATAACTGATAAGTGGCAATTTGCATTCGAATTGAAACTACCATAGTAAGTATATGATACTAAGAAAAGCTTTATTTGGTAATCTTTTGAAATAAACTAAACCAACTACCTAATTTGTGCACAGAGAAGTACCTCATGGAATTTCTAAATTCCCTGGAATTTCTTTTAGATTGTGATGCTTATAAATGAGAACCCTCTACTGGTGGAAGAGGCAGCCCTGAATAAATGTTATAAGGTGATGGATTTGATTTGTGAGAAATGTATGAAGCAAAGAGACATGAATGAAGTATTGGCTATGAAAATGCATTACATCAGCTGTATCTTTCAGAAATGCATTAACTTCTTGAAAGATGGAGAGAATAAACTGGTCACCTTGATCAAGAGGTACTGTTTTTACCATGTCATGTATAAAGTGCACTCAAGTGAATGATAATTTATTATATGAAGGCTCATCATGGATTTAAAAATTAAACATTTTAGCTCCAATTGCTATTGTTGGGATCACATTTAGCCTGCAAGAAACACTTTGAGTGATTATTTAGTTCTCTCCTCTTTACAGTGGTATTTTTGTTGTTATCACTGATTTGTAGATGAGGTATCTGAGGTTTGGAGAGATTAAATAGGATGTGTAAGATCATATAGCTAGAAAGTGACCCGTATCAAAACTTGAGAATAAGTTCCTTATGCTGTAGGCTGCTGCTCTGGATTCATAATGATACTCAGTGTATCTCTGTTACCATACCTTGGAGAGCTAGCTAGGTGTTATTGTTATTCTCTGAACACCAGAGATCAAATCTTCTTGCAGCTTTACTGAGAGAAGGGAACTAGGTCAGAAGAGTATGACTTGATGAAAGTTTTTATCATCATTAGAAATAACTGACATAGTAATAAGTAACTAGGTAATTCAATAACAATGTTTAGTTTTTTTATGGTGGGGGTCACTTTGCATATACATCTCAGTACCCCACAACCTGATCAGGCCTAGTCTAACGTACAGGTTGAACAGCAATTTGAATTAAGTCCATCATCATTATTTGAAGAAACAATGAAAATCTTAAGTAACAAAGAAGAAACTACTAAAAGCTGTTGGGTTCAGCTAGGAGGGAATGCTTAGTGATTCAACTCCAATTACTCTTTAAAAAATATCTTTCAGCTTGTTAAAAGGCCGAGCTTCTGATGGCTTTCCAGTATATCAAGAAAAGATCATTAGAGAAAGTATCAGAAAATTTCCTTACTGTGAAGCTACACTCCTCCAGCAGCTGGTGCGAAGCATTGCTCCTGTTGAAATTGTAAGGATCCTCTTAACTAAGCTAATACTATCAATAAGACCTAATTACCACATGTTGTATTGTTAAAGCCAAGTTGTCTTAGTATTTATTTTTATTATTTCAGAAAATTTTCAAGAATGAACGTGAAGTTAGGTTTGCCTGCCAAACCTGTTTCTGTTTATCCATTTTCCCTCTCATTATCTTCTTTTTACATTTTTATAGCTTGCAGTTTAGTAAACAGTATTTCCCTATATCAGAACATAGATGTTTATAGTAGAAACTTACATTCTAAATACCTCTATGAAACCCCTAAGGTGGGTACCTATTCACTATGTAACACAGATACACACATATACACTTGTAGCTCTATGAACTACCAGTACAGAGTCTCACACTGGAAGAATGTATGGATTAATTGTCTAGGGTGATGGTGTCCAGGCAGTGGGTATCTAGCTGGATGAACCATGGGAAGGCCCATCATGGTCTCTGACAGCAATCTCAAAGTATGTTCCAGCTTCTTATAGTCCATCTAAATGCCTCTGATTAGAAATTTTTCATACTTAGGGGCCGGCCCGGTGGCGCGCTGCAACAGTGCGCCGCTTGGGAGTGCGGCGGCGCTCCCGCCGAGGGTTCAGATCCCACATACAGACCGGTTCCTGCTCGCTGGCTGAGCGAGGTGCGGGCGCGACACTGAGGGTTGCGATTCCGTTGCCAGTCCCGGTCCGGTACAGGCACGACACTGAGGGTTGCGATTCCGTTGCCAGTCCCGGTCCGGTACAGGCACGACACTGAGGGTTGCGATTCCGTTGCCAGTCCCGGTCCGGTACAGGCACGACACTGAGGGTTGCGATTCCGTTGCCAGTCCCGGTCCGGTACAGGCACGACACTGAGGGTTGCGGTCCGTTGCCGGACACGAAAAAAGACAAAAAGGAAAAAAAAAAAAAAGAAATTTTTCATACTTAAAAAACCTATTTATACTTCGCAGCTATGAGGCTATGAGAAGTGAATTTTGTTAACTTTATTATCTATTCTTTAAATTACTTATTCCTTTTGTCATGTATTTATTTAAGTAGTATTTCGTAAGATACTCCCTGCATTCCCTATTGTGAATAGGTTTCTGTTCACCTTATCAATACCCATTCATGCTTGTTTTGGGGTTGGCTGATGGGTATGGGGATCCAAACCCTTGACCTTGATATTATAACACTGCACTCTAACCAACTGAGCTAACCAGCCAGTTCCATACACACTTTTATACACTTCGTTCAAATCTCTTCTCAGCCTTTGTCTGTGAGGCAAGAAATCGATCCTCAGCCCATCCATGGCTTTCTCCTTCTCTCTGGCAATTTCGGTTCCCTTCTCTGTGCCTTCTCTAAGCTGTTGTATCATTCTCAGTGTGGAAAATCAGGGCTAAAAATGGGTTCCAGGTGCTCCTTTATACATTAAGACTGCCTACTGTGAACAATGAAATAAACAAGAAAGAACTGAGTGGAAAAGATGATCTCATAAAGTCCATGCACTAATGAATTTATGAGAGCTCCCCATAGTTCCACTTAGAGACTTTTTACTCTTACTTTGTAATAGACTTGGCTATTTATAAGCTTTTATAAGGTTAAAGTTAGCAAGTTATGAGAATTTTTTATCAGTTATGAATGTGTTTTGGTTGCACATATCAAACTCCAAACAATCATGAATTAAATAGGTAAGTGTTTATGTATTTACATATACTCAAATGTCCAAAGGTAGGCAGACCAGGTATGGCACAGTGGCTCAAAATTGGGGACCCAAGCACTTTCTCATCTTTCTACCCAACATTGCTTAGCCATGCAGGTTCTCATACTCATGTTTGTGAGCTCATGGTTGCCAGGCATTTAATGCTCTTCCTCCAGGCTCACATTCCTGTGCCAGGAAGGCAGGAAGAACAAATAGGGTGTATATCTGGAAAACATGAGCTCTCCCATAAATCCTCTGCCTGCATCACATGACCATTCTTGACTGTGCAGGAGTCTGGGGAGATGAATATTTTTGACTTGTCCAAACACTGCTGCTCTGAATGAAATTATGCTGAGGTTTGTGAGGAAGTTGGGGGAATTGATATCAGAGAAGCAACTAGCAGTGCCTGCTAGGGGGTGTTTCCTGCACTAACTAGTGGTAGGTGACATTCTGCCTTCATGGGATAAAACAGAAAAACTAAAAATAGCAGCCAAGAGTACTTTTAAAAAGTCAAGGCAGGTCAGGGTAGAGATCAACAATTCATCTTAGCCCCATATGAATGGATGATGTAATTAGAATTTGTAGAGTATAATGATTTATGTTTATCCTAGTGGTCAGAGTCATCAAGAAAAGGTTTATAATAAAGTTAAGATAGTATTTTATTGCATTTTAGAAAGATTTCTCTTTTAAAAATTTTTGTTCCTTAAGAGTTATATTCTACTCTCTGGGAAACTTTATTTTGAATGCTTGTGGTTATGTGTGTCCCAGATCTTGGGACACACATGCCACTGTTTACTGCCTAATGGATTTCATTATACTGCAAGTTCATAAGCCTCTGAAGTAATGCTAACCTTTTCCTGTAACACAATGAATGGTTCTCTGGGCTGGCCGCCTGAGAAGTATCCATGTTGCTTTCTTTTTTTTTTTTTTTTTCCTTTTTGTCTTTTTTCATGTCCGGCAAC